GACAGCTGACAGTTGACATCATACCTCCATTAGAATGTCACTTGTCATATTGTAACATCTTGACATTGTCCAATGGCTTCTATGTGTTTCGGTAAATTGCAAACACACTTTACACACTAGGCGGATAGTTTTAAATTATACGCTAGGGCCATTAAAATTTTTGCAACATGCAAGTGTTAGTATTTTTGTCATTTTAATTATCATAGATTGTAATACAGTATCATTGACAAGTAGTAGTATAATTTTGTTGGTATCTATAACATCATGTTTGCAAGATAAGTTAGTTAGTTTCATTATTCGCCATTATGCTTAGTCTAAAACTTTTTATCTGAACATGTAAAACAATTTATTGGCTATAAATGATAATTTTGTACATTATAGAGACATAAATCGAACTCCAAACAGTACATTGATTTATAATCACAGTTTTAGCTCCCGTGTAGGCTAAGCCAAGTATACATTGCCGAAGACATTCTCAAACATTGTAGGAGTACAAGAAAAAGCGTTTCATCTTGTTCAGTGCTCTAGTTTTCCCGGAGCCAGCGCTATAGTACCACCAAACATACAAAATCCCGATAGGCTAGATGGACAAAAATCAAAAAGACTTATTTCGATTCCAGTATGCTTTAAAAAATAAAAATAAAGATGTTCGTGGTTCTAAACACTGTGGCAAAACGTTATTTATTTAATTTTGACCCTTACAACCTTCTCCTACCCCATACAAGGCACCACCTCCCTACATTTCCTTGGACAGTTCACCCTCCGACATACGGAGGACGTAGTTCGACCATATGGGCGTCTACGTCTGTAATCGTCGCCGTTTAGGACTTATTGAGAGGAACTCCAAATTATCGGGTAGACATGACCAGGGGCGTCGACCAGGCTCGCCGATTTACCGCGCAGCGTCGGAACTATTACCTTCTGGGCGATTTCCGAAAATACCGAGTCTCAAGGAAACGCCCCGACCTTCGGGACACGTTTAATTGAGAAACACTTGGAAGGAAATGTACGTAGAGATGTTGAGTGGTGGGAAATGATTCGGGTGTGCCTTTGTGAAATGGTTGTTTTAAAGGTATATTGCCACATATCAACAAATATCAACAGGACAAGTCAAAAACACTACACATACATACAATCAGAACAATGTGTAGCTTTGAGGGCATACAACCTCATATTATACCTTTTTTGCTATGTGCAAGTGAAAGTGGTTCGTAAATTTAACAGACTACAGCTAGCTTTTCAGGTCCCTTAATGTAAACAACGAATTTCTCGTCTACAAGGAGTAGCTACAGAAACCAAATACTTTCTGTGCAGTGCGGCAAGGAATAAACAGGCCGTAAAGCTCCTCAGGCATGACGTCATCATAGGCGACGGCAATGACGTAGTGTTATTTTTAGTTATATTTTTGTTAAAAAAGGAGATTAAAACAAACAGCTGATCACAAATGGCAAACATTACGTCATTGCCGTCGCCTACGATGACGTCATACCAGAGGAGCATTATGGCCTGTTTATTTAGTGTTGCCTTGGGTGTGGTGAAAATAAATATTTATTGAACATTTGACTGGAGTAGGAAACAATTCTGATTCTGGGGAAGTATCAAAGAAATGGGCATCTGAGTGAAAAATGTATCAAGTGATGAATTGACTGAGGTAGGATGGACCAATTGGCTTCCGGTATAAAATCTTTCATATTCATAATAAGTTTGAATGAGAAGCATTGCAAGAGTAATGAATAGAAATATACGTAGACCAATTGAGTAAAGTAGTTCAGTCTTGAGGAAAAGGTCGTTCCTGTAAAAATAACCGGACATTCGTTAATAGAAATATAATTTGAATGATTTTAAGTAAATTTGAAATCATTTGAATGTAAGGATCAGGGAATCATTTATTTGAGGATTCATTAGATGAAAATGTGGTATTTCATTCAGGTTTAAAGGAAATTGAGGGAGTTTCGAGTAACTTTGATTGGAAAACACTTGTAGATTGAAGATACTTAGAACAAGTTTTTGATTGAGATTACAAATCTTTAGACGAGTCATAAGAAAGTTATTAACATCGGGGCACTTTTATTAGAGGGATATTTTAAGGACAGTGAAAAAGACTACGAAGCTATTTATGCATAAAATCGTCCAGGTGAGTTTTAAGGACATCAATGAAAAATCACTCATCGTTTGAGTGGGACATTTTTGATGAGCTATACAAAAGAAAGTTTGCATAATATATGCTTGAGGCAAGCTTATCTTTCTAATTATAGCCTAGATTTCATAATTTTAAAACATGAATTTCATATTCAAATATTAAATATTTTCTGAAGTTTAAAAAGACGAATTCCTTGCGAATCAATGAATCAAAAAGTCTTTGACAAAATTGGTGAATTGTAGATGTCACTCAATCTTGTAATAGTACATTATATGATTGAAAACCCAAATGTAAGTTTATTTTATTTTGAACATGAAATTCAAATAAAGAGTTTGCAAACGGGAAATTTCTCTTTGATACTTGTCTTAGTGACATCGACACGTTATCTCATGTCAACCTCTGACATTGTATAATGGGTTTCTCTTGCTTACTGGAATGCCATTCTGTTGTCCTTGTCATTCAAATCACACACAACGATGTCACTAAAAATGGTTTTGTGATTTTTGATTAAAATTTAAATATAAACCAAAGGGATTAAGACAGTGTGTCCCACGAAGAGGTTTAAACGTTTGATTTCATATTTTTTGCCCATTTATAGGCCGACATTTTTGAAACCTTACACAATTTATAAAGAAGGTTTTAAAAAATATTCTGGGAAAATTTCAACTCCCTAACCCTTGTAGAATCAAAATAGTGGCATATTATTTATTTTTTATTAACTAATTATATTATATTTATTTATTTATTATTACTATTTATTAACTAGTGATGGTTCACAGTTTGAATGATCTTTTACTCTACTTTTAGGTTTTTCACTAGGCTATGTTTTAATTTCCTGATGAAAATTCCTTATTTCCCTATGATGTGATAATACAAATATTTAAAAAAACAAAAAACACTATTTTTAAAGAGTTTAAAGTATCATTAGCAATATGCCTCCATTGGTAGGTAGCTGAAATTTTCCCGGAATATTTGTAAACCCGACTTTATAAACTGTGTAAACAATAGCAAAACGTTCAAACGTTCAAAATGATCGGAGCATAAATGGGCAAGTAATATAACATCAAACGTTTAAACCCCTTCGTGGGACACCATGTATATCGACATTTGGGGAGTATAACCAAACGTCCGCAATTCAGGAGAATAATCGTATTAGTATAATGTCTTAGGCAACTGAGGAGGAACTAAAAACTCATGTTTAAGTCCCTAGGCCATCTTAGAAGTTGAAAGCTGGATCCACCTCCAACTAGAATTTAAGTTTTATTCTTCACTTAAGCAACAAAAAAAGTCAGATTCAGCTGTGTACAGCTAAATAATGAAGATCGTTCTAACTATAAGTAATTTTAGTACTGGGCACTCCCTCACGACACAATATAGATTCCAGGTGTTGTATAAAGATCAAGACCTACAAGGAGTAACATTGGCATTGGACACCCCCTGGTAGGTCATTGGGTGCGAACGCATTGATTTGCTGGTTTTATCTGTCACTAAATTGGTAAATAGTGTTCATATTCGGGAGAGAGACGACCAACTGATTGAGGCAATGGCATAAATATATGGTTGCGCCTACTCTCATCGTATCCCCTCTTCTTTGATTCCCGATTATTTGCAATGGCTCCTGAGATAAAATTCAAAGATGCTCCACTTAAGAGTGTTCTCAAAAAATTGTACAGTTCCTAGATAGAAAAATTAAATATAATTTGATTTTTGGTCAATCATATAGTATTGCTTTGAGTTTCTATTTGTAAATACTGTAAATAGTTATGGTGGTCGTGTAATCTTAACAGGAAGTTTCATTTTATGATTTTGAAAAATTTTAGTGCCCCCCAAAAATGGGGTCTTAACTTTTTATTCACCCTATAAGTTCTAAAGAAATTCCATTCTTATGTTTAATCTGAGATAGATGTTATAATACAAATAATTTGTTGAATTTAGCATCCGACAGAATGAGTTCCTTTCAAGTACGGGTTTCTGTTTGTGCATCAAACTACATTTTAAGATCACTCTTATAAACCATAGCGTATTTTACGTCAAACAACCTACAGTATCATGGAATTGGTAAAACATTTTAGATGTTTATTTAGATTTAATTTATGAAAAGCCTTGAGGGTTTAGCAGCCTTCTAAGTTATTGGTTGTGATGAGCGTTTTCTACTATCTTTACGTAAAACGTCAACGCAATGGCCATTGATTTGAACCCACAAGTTTTCTAACTGGCCAATATACGCACTAGAACAAGACACTATCGATAGAAAAATCGTCTAGAAGTAGGGCCTATATTATACTCGCCTTTGGCTCGCTGGGCGCTCCACCCCCGAACCCCATAGGGTGGTTGGGGAGTTGGAAATATCCCCGGAAAAAATCTGTTACTGAGTAAAATAATACAAAAATAAGAAGTTGGTAAAATACTAAGCACCGTAGCCTAATGCAACTAATATGTTTTGATACAGAAAAATTAGATTGGGGGGGTTGATTTCAGGGGTGGGTTTAAATAGTATACAATTTTCTAAACTATTCGTTGGTTTTAAAACGAAGACTAGTAACTGTAAAAGATTTCAAATTTTTACCACGATGAAAGACAGTGGTTCTTTAGAAGACACAAACTTTAGATGTATACTTGGTTGAGTCAGTCAGTCAGTCAGTGACACGCGTACACGTTGTAACTAGTTTTATGAATGTAGACGCTTCGTGGCAGAGACTGTACCTCGGCAACAACGATTACTAAACTACGACAGGTAACACCTATCCAATTAATCATAAACATATGGACGTAGAATCCCACTCAATTACGTCAGTCTGTTGTGAAAGATCGAATTATTAAGTCTGTACTTTCAGCTTCAGCATTAAATTTCTGCATTTTTATGTTCAAATTTGTGTGCACAGGAGAGACTAAATTGAGTACTTAAATGGGTGTAAATTCAGTGTGTTACTATACGTTGTGACAGATTAGTAAACGATTAGGTTGGTGTGCTAGTTTATGTTGTTAAATTTGCAAGGGTTATCAGATTGAGCTGTATGTAATGGTGGTAAATATTCTTAGTTTACTTTGGAGGTTAAGCTTAGTGTTTGTGACAATTTGTGTACTTGAAACCTTAGGCGCAAGATCTGAGTTTTCACGGCCAGATGGAAGAGCAAATAATTTACATAACATAGTAAGTAATCGTACTAACTTATATTTAAGGTTTGCGGTTAGTGTAATATGTGTTGCTGATAATATTTCATTAGTAAAAATATTGCTAGAGTTTCGTTCAGATTTGGTTTTGTGTAAAAAGTGACTATACGTAAACGTCTTAGAAGTAAACTCTCCAGTACCTTGTTTAATTAATTTGCAGTATGGCTTATAATAAAAAGAACTTAGTTGATGAATGGATCCACCAACTAAGTGGTAGATTACTGTAAAATAATTTGTCTACAGTTGTCAAAGAAAGAGACATTAGTTCACAATAATTAGTTAGCCAAACAGCTCATTCTCAAAGTTACTTTGCTCACTTTTCTAGTAATTTGGTTTTGTTGAATTGCTATCCGTAAAGAAAGTAATGAACATAGTAACATTTTAACTTTTACCACTAGTTTTTTCCACTCGGGATGACACCTAAACAAAACAAAATTTAGATTCAGTTTATATTTTCTAACACGTAAACTTTCACAATTAAAATGTTAGTGTTTTTAACTACTCTAGCCAGTAATAACTCTACACAAGACATCTAAAATCACTTCATTCTGTTTCATCCCTTTCTATTCAGGTTTAATTACGCTGTATTTTAGTCCTGCTTCAATCTAATGATGAAATTGTGTTTTCAGTTAACTCTGGTCACAAAATGGGGTTACCCAATAGAGAATCACGTAGTGACTACCTCTGATGGGTATTCGCTGACGTTATTCCGTATCCCAAGTCTATTTGAAGACCCCAAAAAGTCGCCGGTGTTCTTGCAGCACGGATTGGTATCTTGCGGAGGGGTCTTTCTCGCCAACAAACGAAGCCTGGGTATGTTGATTTTCATCCTAAACAAAATGCTTTGTAGCATCCAACAGTCCGAAAATGACGTTATGCAAACGTCAAATAAGAAAGACAGGTTTACTTAAATACCCCCGCCGCAGCAAACCTGCAGACTAAGCGAATTTCCATTTCCCTGAATGGATTTACACTCAAATGTCTCCTTAAAAATATAACATTTATTCCCTATTTAAATAGAATCAGTTTAAAACATACTTAGGTTTGCTGCAACAGGGAGGGTAAAAGTGTTATTTATGTAAAATGTTAATAGTTGGTAAGTAATAAAAACATTTTCCAAATTTGGGCAAAATATGTTAATAAACAAGCAAACTACAACAGTTTACTTATTCTCCATAAGAATAACATGGAAATTTTAAATTTAAAATTTTTTGGAATTTTCTCCGTAACTATTAGGCGCATTCTAACGCTTCAATATACTAAATTATTTGTTTTTTTTAAGCTCTACAAAATAGTTTAGAAAGAAATTGAAAAATTTTATGTTTTTTGGGTCAAAAATGGGAAAACCCATTTTTACCAAATAAAAGCCCCCATAAACCCCCGTTCCCATGGTCCGATCATGCTGGTTCGTGAACTCGTTCGAATAAACGTAGATTTACACATTTGTACCAAATTTCATCAAAATCGGATCATTTTGCTCGAGTTATCGCGCTAACGGACACATACATATATATATATATGAATTTGAACGGATGGTGTTTTTGGCCTCTAAGGACCTCAAAACGAAAAAAAAATCGGTCTCGGGTCCAGGTCTTACCATGAGTACTACGGTAATAGCTTATTCCCTATATGGGAAATTCGCTAAAACAGAGGGTAATGCTCTAATCTAACAACGGTTTCATAATCTAATCACACTTTAAAAGCTTCATGTCAAAGATCCGTTGCTGACTATGGGTATTTTATCAATTGCCTGGGCCACTTCGAAAGGAAATATTGAACAGTTGTACAGCAACACTCACGCTTATAGGCCAAAGTTTGTGAATGTAGGCTACACTGGAAATCGTGTGGATGTGTTTCCTATTATTTTGTCCCACCTTCACGTCGTAGCAGGTTCTACACTTTACTTAAGGCTAGTCATAGAAGGTTGCAGCATTAGAATAGATAAGATCTTTCGCTGATTTGTGGGATTTGAACCCAGGATTTCGGGTTCCGAAGGCACGAGCTCTACCACTAGACCAGCTCGGTCTTCCACCGGAATCAGAGATACGGAGCGTTACAGACATATGATATAAACAATTAATTATTAATAAAAACAACAATTAACGATTAATATAAACATAAGATCAAGACATAAGAGCTGCACCACCTTTTACTATGTAGATCTAAACATTTCAACCCCATTTTGAAGTTGTAAAGAATTAAATGGGAATTTCACACACTGAGGGTGGTGTTGTCAATTCCTTATTACATTGCAATCTATTTGAACTTGGTGAGTCAACGGCTCAGCCAATATCGAAATAATGTGTTATGGTGCGGTGAAATATTTCTAAAAAAATGTAGACAAATAAAAATAAGAAGAGCTTTTAGGAATTGTAGTAATACAGTACTTTTAATTGAAACAGTAATCAGAACAGGTGAATAACAACTGTTATATGCCTAACCAAACAGATAACAGTAGTGTGTTAGTAACAGTTCCCTCACAAACTGTTTGTTTTTTGCTCCAGCTTATTCCCTATATGTGGAAGGGTATGATGTTTGGATTGGGAACGCCAGGGGCACCCAATTCAGCCAACACCACAGAAAACATCTTACTAATACCAAAGAGTTCTGGGATTTCAGGTACAGTAGTACATGTACCATTTTGCGTAATCAATTTCAATCCTTATGTACTGGTGATTAATGTGACAAATATTTTGTTCACTTTCTCGTGTTTTTGGTATGATAGGCCTAGTCAGCAACAAAAGATATGTATTACGTCAGTATTTTGAGGAGCTGTTATCCCCGTCTGACCCTTAAAAATATATAATGATGTTTAGTGCCAAAAAAGGCCTTTCAGAACCAGTTAAAATATGTTTCCTGAAACATAAGGCTACTTATTTGTGGCGTTTCAGGGACATTTTAAATCCATAGACAGTTATTTTTGCTTGTGATAATGGATTCCAATAGAGCCAAAATAGTCATATTGAGCTAGATGGTGAATGATTTTAAGTATTTCGACTTGAAGAAATCTTGCACTCTACGAGTTGCCAACAATGCATAGGAAAATTCCTTATGAGACTATTCAAAAATGACTTTGTATGGACGACTTCATGCCTGGACGACTCCGATTGACCCCTTAAACATATTCTGATCAACATGTTCACTCTTCAGATAATATATTTTCCATTTTTCAGTTTCCACGAGATGGGAATAAAAGACGTCCCGGCAGTCCTACAATTCATCAGGGCGAGAACCGGGAAGTCCAAAATCCACTATATTGGGCACTCTATGGGCACTACAATGTTTCTGGTCATGGCCTCACTTCTTCCTGAAGAACTCAATCACATCGACACCGTCACCCTGATGGCTCCAGTTGCCGTGCCAAAACATATGGCCGCGTTTGCTTCGAAAATCAAAAGGCGACTTGCCTACTTTACAGTGGTAAGCATAGTGACTAATGATTTTGTATCTTTTTTTACATTTTGGATAAAGTTTTCGAAATGAAATCCTATATTTAAATATTAATAGGCAAGCATGTTTCTTGAAAACCTTTTTTCTCAGCTCGTGTGCATCGAAGGGGAAATTTACGCATACTCTTTGTACATTAATATAGGCTCAAAAATAAACACAAAAATTATTTTTTTATAGACGATATGGGTTGCCATGCTGAAGACCAAATAACAACGAAATAAAAACAGAAAATTAAAATAAATGGAGAAAATTCCAATCACATGTTTTATTTACAGCTTGGGGTTAAGTAGAGAAGTCTGTATATTAGTAGATTGCATATTTTTGGTCGAGCTTTCGACCACTGGACTACTTATAGTGTTGAAATGGAAAAATCACAATCATAAATGTCTATACTCTACTTTCTTTTTCCGATAAAGATACGATATTTATTATGCAACACGGAAGATAGAATTTAACCAATTGTACCTTATCAAACTAAAAGGTGCAATGAAGAATCTGTGATTAACTTACCTACGTAAATTGGGGTTTAACTGTTTTCATTTTCTTTTAACGAATTTCCCATAGGGAATAAGCTATTTATAAGTTTCATAGCATGAATGAAAATAATCCTGTAAACTCTTTTATCTATGTCTTTATCCAATATTATGAACCACTAGTAACTCAGCGTGTTGTAATATAGAGCTAGATTCTATGTATCTGTTCGTTCGGAATAAACGTTACTGCTGAACTTGCTGTGCTGTATTTTACACTATTGTAGATAATGAAAACTACCAACATTGAAGCCTATGAATGAACCTTATTTTCCTTGTGCTACCCTCAGTGCAAGTCGTTCCGAAATAAATAATGAGTTACCAGTGAGAAAATAAAACACAACAATAATTAAATATGCTATATTCACATTATTTTTACTTTTTTAGAATTCCATTTAGGTTATTTATTGTATTTTCTAAGCAGCTTATTTAACTTGACCAATGAGAATTTCAGCTTATTTGTCAATGTCGACACTTAGTTCGCACCAGTTAGTAATTCGGTTTCTATTTTCAATCGCTCAATATCAACAAACGATAAACACTTTATGAGATAGACTTTTTATTTGTAGAAAAATCTTCGAAACATCGGAATGCAGAGGCATAAACAACAAAAGTGGCTTGGCAGATTTGTGTACAAAACGTGCGAAGCTAACAACTTTGTTGGAAGGATGTGCAAAAAAATCTTTTGTGATTCTCAAAATGAGGTTCTTGTGGCACAAGTCGTCTTAAAAGAAGATGAAACTTTAAAAAACACACGTGAAAGTGGCGAAATTGAGGAAAATAATGAAACAATTGAAAGTGTAGCGGGACCTATTAGAATCTTAAGGGAAGGACCTATTACAGTGGACAAAGTATGTTACCCAAGTAAATTCGACCATGTAAGTATAACACGTTAATAAAACACCATTTTTAACTTGTGCACTGTATTGACGTGAATAGTGTTAAATGTGTACTTTGTGTCAAAGACCTCGAATGCTGGTTTGTAAAGGTTTATATTGTATATTATTTTTCTCAAATTTTTATTTGGAGCATTATTGATTTGTGGTTTGATTTTAAGTTTCTCGTAGTTTAACAGTTTTAGTATCTTCCGTCAACGTCTTCAAAGTTAAATTGTTTTGGATTTAACTCCGTAAGTGCGCTGGTAATAGCAACCATGCTTAAAAGTAAGTAAAGTTTTAGTCATCGTGATGCTATGCAGTTCTAAGCATCGTTTCTAGCAAAATAATTAATCGGCAACTAGTTGTTTTATTAAATAGCTTATCATACAGGGAATAAACTATTACCATGGTAAGACTTGGACTCGGGACTGATTTACTTTGTCGTTTTGATGTCCCTATATTAACCCTTATTTACTTTCTATATTGATGTGAGTGTTAAGTTAGGATGATTCTCCAGCAAAAATTCCTAAAATTTCGATGAAATTCGGTTTACACGTGAAAACCTATGTTTATTTGAACGAGTTCGTGAATCAACATGATTGGACTGCAGGCATGAGTGTTTGGATGTAAAAATTGATCCTCAAAAGATAAGATGTCGCAGTTTTAAATTGTAGAGCTTTAAAATCGTATAATTTAGTATATTATAGCATTGTATTGAGCTTAATAGTTACAGTTAAAATTAAAAAGAAACTCGTAGTTTAAATAATATTCCTATGTCACTTATCTAGGGTAAGCAAACTGTTTTACTTTGATAGTTTATGGATATATCATGATAAAATCTGGAAAATGTATTAATTTATACTAAGCTATTAATATTTTACTAATAAATACACATCTTAAATGTATTTGAATAGGAAATAAATCTTTACGAAAGCCTATCAGCTGAGTCAGCAATGTTGCGGCGGGTGCATTGGTATATTTAAAATTTGTTTTTAGTAAATTTCCCTAAATATAAAAAGGCATTAGCGCGGGTGGAATGGCAAGACACAAAGCCTCTTAACTTCTTCATTTTCATGCCCCAGAGGCCAAAGATACTATGCATAAAAATGGCGATGTGTTTGTGTGTCCGTGAATACGATAACTCGAGTAATTTTGATCCAATTTTGATGAAAGAGCATTGAAAGAGGATATCATTTGTTAATATATGTATAACACATATAACTAACTATAGACAAGTTGCAAGACTTTTGCCGCCGCCAAGCAGGCCGGTTTAAAATCTGATATCAACGTCGTGTTCTTACTATTCTTTATCTACTATATTTTCGATAGGCCTACCCATCCCTATTCAGTCTCGTCAATCGATGTATAATACTTCCCGGGATTGTCTTGTTACAGTATGCAAAAACCTGATGAAGAAAATTGACGCTCCGCCAATATGAATCACTTTCTGTGATTAGTTTTATCTAAAAAGAGAGTTTCTATCGATTATTGTTGTCAATTGACGGATGTGTAGACGTAGAAAACGTGCATTAGTGGCTTAGGGAGTTCACTGAAGCACTTGCATATTTGCCGGGGATATGTTCATTAAATTAATTACATTTACAGTATATGTAACGTTATACTGTTACAAAAACGAAGCTAGGGCCAAAGAACATTCGTCTAGCTAAATAATTATTAAAAAATAAAATTTACTCTTATGACAAATGTGGTATTATTATTTTACATTTTACTTAAGACTTTTTGTAACTAAAAAAATACCCATATTTTAATAGCAACATGATAAATGACTTCTTAAGCTACAATAGCAAAAACTTGAATAGTGAAAACCATATCAAGTCTTAAGTAATTTTAAAGCTTGAAAAACACACCATCCGTCCATATATTGTTAATACATAAAAAATTGTTTCCTATTACCAAAATGAAAACTTTTGTTGCAGGCCAATGCAGAAGAGGCCATTGAGTACTTTTTTGACGGGACATCGTGGAAAACTCATCAGCATTTCCTTCAGGTCATCGAGGCAGGTAACGTACTGTAATATTGTGATGTCTATCTATAGCTGCGTAGCTCAGTAGTTACAGTGCTCGCCTAGCTAAGGTAGGGTAATAAGGTAAGGTGAGCTAAGGTATAGGGTATAAGGTCGCCAGTTCGATTCTGAGAAAAGTGTTTAGCTTTTGATGGTTCGAAACTGGGCCAAGCTGTCCTTCATCATTGGGCTTTTAATAAGTGGTCCTGACTAATGAAACAGCTGGCTCCAGTCAGTAAAAGGGCTACACAAGGCATCACACTCCATTCCACATTCGTACTTAGGCTAAAAACGGGGGCGTCCCCATCTCAATTGATAATGATAATGAATACAAAATAATTCAGGTACTGATTTAGTTTAGGTATTTTGCTTTTGAGTTTTTTACGAAGAAAAGTCGGTCCATCCATGCGACGAAAACTCTCGGTGAGCAATTAAGCGCATACATCTGTTCCCTGACGTACCTTTTCTCTAATAGTTGTAAAACTAAAAGTCTGAGATGAGGAAAAATAGTCTGAGGGTTGAGAGTATGTAATCTATTTAACATCCCGTGTGCTAACCTTAACAACCGGGTAGTCATAGTAATTTCGTCGGCGTGCGGACGTCCGTTTGCCGACACACGTACTCGGTGTGTGATGGCCTTTAACTCAATTTAAATGTTAACACACCCGGTTATACACCTCTTTAAGTATACACGGTGTGTATAAGGTGCGTTAAGTAACCTTTACAAGCTCCAAGGTATTTGTACTGTACTAGGAATAAGACAAACATTTCCTCTCTAAACCAGAGTGGAACCTGGGAAGTTGTCTGTTTGTCTCTGTATGTCATTTTCAATAACTCTTGGATAGCCGGAGTTAATTTTAATTCTAAAATCGAGTATTTAAAGTATGTATTATGATAGAATTTAATTTCAATATAACTAGGATAGAAAATAGAATTTGAGGGTGTAGGTCTCTCTGTGAGTAGCACCATTGTAGGTATATATAGTCAATGGTAGCACATCCAATTTTGCCAATAAAAGATTGGCATGCTATTGGGGCTTACCCTTACAATATAATATTATTCTCAACTAAATTAATATTAATATAAAACATTGGCATTGCAAGTTAGTTATGTTTTCTCTATAACTGTTTATGTTTTGTATCCAAATCCAAGATACAATGTTTTAACATAACAGTACTTAAATTTCACTATAGTTGTAAATATATTGTATGGTATATTATATTTTATTGTTAATTTCAGGAAGATTCCAAAAATTTGATTATGAAAAAGACAATCCGAAAGAGTACGATGGACGAACTACGCCTGATATTTATCCTATAAAGAATATAAAAAAACGAATTTACCTTATGTCAGGAGGCAAAGACACCGTAGCTCTAACCGAGGTGATCTATTACTGTAATAGGAAACGACGTTCTAGGTTATATTTAAATAAATAATGTAGCATTTACCTAGTACAGAATAAGCGCTTAGCAGTAACAAATTAGTGATCAATTCAAATGTTGACTACATGTACATTTCCAAGAAGTACACAGCCCAACATTAAAATTATCGCTAGTATTGAAACAAAGAAACAACTGTATTATACTGAACCACCTTCAGCATCTGTACTGATTTACACATTAATTTTACTTTTTCCACTATGCATACATAGGATATGGCGAAAGTATTATTTTGGTCAAGATTTTCGAGTTTCCGTTTTGGGTGGATATGCAGTAGTGTATTAGAGGTGGCTGTGACAGTACCCGTTTTGAGCCCCCTGAATCCCCCAACACGTGGTTCAGAATTGGTGTGTTGTACTGTACGCATCTACGTCTGGATTTCTCTTGTATGTGTTGCTGTAAACATTAAGGTCCGAAAAATGTTGCAACTTTAGTTATTTCCCCGTAAGAAATCATAGTACTCCCACCACTTACCCATGATAGGGTAGATAATGTGCTAATGGGAGAAAGTGTGTTGGATTGCTTAAACTGTTTATTTTATCATAACAAACTAAGAGAATCGTATGTCTACACGTAGTTGGGAATTTGATTAAACCTAACTTTTATCCGCTACAGGTTAAGATTTGGGACTATTTATTAATGCTCGTTTTGCTTAAAGATGCATGTTAAATAATAACTAACTGTACAAATAACTTCAGAATTAATGATGAACAACTCCAGCTATATTTCAAATCAGACTATATAATAAAAATTTTCGAAATTCAAATGTTTATTTAAAATGTATCTAACACTTAGGATTCCACGAGTTAAATTTTTAGTTTCTTTCAACTCAACCAAAACGATATGTGTACCATATATAAAATAACATTGCGAAATCTAAATCAACCAATCTAGATCTACATGTTAATTCAGATGAATATAGATCTAAATTTGTATTTATATTTATATATATTATATATATATATACATCTCCATTTACACATATGCACCTGTAACTAAAACTACATTATAACTAAAATTTTCATATACTTATTATACTCTTAGGTACTTATATATATTCTTCTTAAGTTCTTAAATATACAGAAGTAATATACACAGTAACCGGTCTCTTCATCCGATTTTAAATCTACATCGACATTTCTATTTACATCTACGTTCATATCTAAATGTTTTGTGAAATGTAAATCTACATCTTGACTTACATTTACATCTATGTTTATAACTGAATCTCAATCTATCAATATACATCCATCCAAACCCATTTGCATCTCTATTTTAATCTAAATGCCATCCCACTTCTTCATCAATATCAAAGTTTACATCTACGTGTACATATACATCTAAATATATTTACATTTTGTACAACTTAACAAAATCGATAAAGCAGAACTGAAGATTTAATTATACAAAGTTAAAAAGTAATCTTCGACTTTTTTACCACTAGAAATTTGGAGGTTACTTGACGTTTTTGCAAATAACTTTTAAATGGTGAGGAAATCGACATCAAAATGCATTATGCAAGTATGAAATAACTAATATACATATTATAATATACAAAAATGTTAAACGATAATCAAGGTAGGGTTACCTATGAGACTAATAATTTGTACAAAATAATTACTAGAACATATATATATATAGGGGCTATTGTCCCTACAAGCCACTAGTATATTTTAAACCTGTAGTTCCATCTACATCTCCGTCTATATCTACCCCTACACAATTGTTGACCTTTATCTGGACACACATCTTCTGTATTTACATCTACATTACATCTGATGTATCTAAATCTACAAGTATATCTATTTATATTTGTATGTATCACGTTTCTGTTGCCAGGATGTCAGATGGCTCCATGATCGTTTGCAAGATTCATGGTTGATAGAGGAAGGTTTCCAAGAGTTCACCCATGATTCGTTCCATCTCGGAGAGGATGTTCAGCGAGTGTTCATTACCGTGTTGCGAATCATTCACTCCTCAGAGGCTGGTGTGGAACCGAGTGGCTTACCGGAGAATGTAGTAAAAAGGAAGGTTCCTCCCACCGAGGATTCGGAGCCTGGAACCATCCAGAAGAAAACAACAAAAAAATGGTTTTCTTGGAGTAAAAGTTCATCTAAGCTCGATGAAAATCCTAAAGGAATTTAACAATTGTTCACCCTTACTTAAAAACTTTCACAATGTTGATGTTATCATCAAGGAATATTAAATTTTTCAATATACAAATAATCCTGGGTTTTACTTGGTTTTTTAGTAGTGTTTCTTACATTAAAGCAAATTGTATTCTATATAAACATAGAATTAAAGTGTTAATCATCCCTATGTCTATCAGTGATTTTTAACTTAACAATGGTGTGAGGTACAAGATTTAAACTATGTCCGAATATAAAGAATGTTAAAAACGCTTGTAATTAATTGTAAATGTACTTGTAGACACTCGGGCCTATCTGACGGTTTTGACAGTTTATAACCCCCACGGCTAAGAATAGAACGACACTCTCTCCGTTTCCCGGTTTGGAGACGAAGAGGACGAGTTAGAAAACTGTAAAAAGCAACTTAAAACGAATGTCCGAAAAAAATACTAAAAATCGTAAATTTGTTAATTGATTAAGTTAAAACATTTCACTTGATTAAAAACTATCTCAAAAAGTTTCGTCCGATTAAGGAAAATCCGATTCGTAATATCGCAATGCTTTGAATAAACTGAACATGTGATAATTGGACATAACCTGGGATGCCATACCAACTGTTGTGTAAATTGCTCATCTAATTGTTGGTTTCTAACCATGCTTTAGCCAGAAACCGTTTGCACTAGTCTAATTTTCATCCATAACATTTAACATATTTTCTTAGTTTAATCATTTATAGAGTGTTTAATTTTCGTTGTGAGTAATGACTATAATACAGCATAAGGTGTTCTGGCAATTAATAGTTTTGTCAGTTATGTTACGCAACTGTTTAGCCGCAAGATCTGAGTTTTCAATGCCTAACGGGAAAGAGAGCAAGCTAGATGATGTGGTATGTACTGTACATGTGATCATAACCTTTAGGATTTGAAGTAAGGAGTTACACGATGTGGATCAACTAGTATTAAAAAGTTTATGTCTATATTCAAACAGAACACAGCTATGTGAGCCTCACACATTGCAAGCTACAGCCGAAATTGTGTTTACACACTTAACCTATTTTATATACTATAATGGACAGTTGGTTCGGCATAAGAGATTCTATATTTTACAAAAAGACATTTCAATTTAGCTTGGTTATAAATTGGTATATGTCACTTCAAAAATCAATTATTAACAAACAGTGCAATTCCACTATTTTTATTTTATGAAAAGCTAGCTATAGCTTCAACTGGGGATGAAATAAATGTCTAGTTCTATTCCCAAGTAATGGATACTGAAATAAAATTATTTCATTATACTGTCCGAAAAGCGGCCTTTTTAGTTCTCTATATCGTCAGCAAAATCACCTTTTCAAGTAACTTCAAATAGGGAACAGAAAAAAACATATGGTAAATTTTTCGGTTCGCTAACCTCAAAATTTTATCAGTACATTATGGAAACGCTACTTACAACACAATATTTAAAGTTATTAACTCGCTTGATGGAGGACCTCTAGGATCGTGGAATAAGTGAACACCAGTGCCAGTATAATAATTATGATTTAATAAAACTAACTAAATGTGCACACCATTAATAAGTACATAAAATAAAGAGAATTGTTACACAGTGATATAATAATAATTGGGAATAGCAAAATCACAAATAAAATTGAAATAATATAATTAAATATTTACACCCTATGTTTTGGTTTTATAATCTGTTTCTTTATACAGAGATATAAAATGAAATATTTCCCTCGACACTTAAATTTTATTAGTTATATAAATCGTAAACTATTAAAACATTCTAACCTAAATCAAAACCAATATTTACATACAATTGAGGTCATCCTTCTGTGATTTTAAACAAACAAATATTTAAAATACGTGTTTGCGTATTTTACTAGTTTATACCGCTTAGTTTTCAATTATTTACAAACATTAGCCTATAAATTATCCGTATTACAATATATATCTATGTTCATGTTCTAACTGATAGGTTTATTTACTTGGATTAGTCTTGATTCCTGTATTATTCAAACTTCAAAATCGCTCTGTTTAGTTTGACCCCTTTTAGTTTAATTAAGGGTTAGTTTAAGTATTTTACGGGGTTCCTCCCTTAGTTTCCTAAACTACCCTTTTTCTTTAAATTTTAACACTAAAAAATATCACTTTACCGCATTGTTTAGTTACTTTACAGCACTAGTGTGGTTAACAGACCAATGTGGTTTAAGGATTGAGAGAAAAAAAGTTTAATCATAATGCTTCAAACACTATCTTATAAGCTGTCAACAACCAAAAACAATTTAAATATTATTCAACAATCAAAAACTAATTATGCTCAATCACAAAACTAGTTGATTGTGAACGAAATAATTTAACGCTTCAGAAAAAAAAAGTTTAAATGACGGTCACAAAAATTATGACATCATAGCATAGGCCTACTCGGAATGCTGTACGTACATAATATAATTTCCTCACAGGTATCTATGGTGAATCGCTGGAAGTATAACTTGGAACCGCATAGAGTGACTACAGCTGACGGCTACGTTTTGACAGTATTCCGTATTCCAAAAAAGGATTCGTCCAAATACCCGGTTTACTTACAGCACGGCCATCTTTCTTGTGGGGCTGCCTTCCTGGCGAACCAAAGAAGCTTAGGTAGGCCACTAGAGTCAAATATATATACGTATAAATACGTCACGATAAACTACTTTTAGCATTGTTTAACTCTATTACTGATTGAGAAACGTGACATGTAAATAAAAAATTTACTTTCGAAAAAATGTATAAATGAATTACTGAGGTAAGCCACACTAGCTGAGGCGGAGCCTTAAAACGCTGTGTAAGGTTGCATTTATTATTTTTTTTGCTATCGTTTATTTTTAACAATACTAATAATGATCTATATCTTTTAAAGGTGAGATCCTAATTCAAAACTTAAAACAAACTAACTAAATATTTAATATTATTTACGTTTACAGTCTCTATTTTTACTGAGAGCCAACTGTTTTGGCGTTGGTTTGGCATTGGCCTCAGATTAAACACTGCTGATGCCATTTCACATTTGCAACCTGGCTTGCAGTAAATTTCTTCTGAATATCATCTGCTTAACACAAATAAAACCAACGCGAACAAGTAACCAACATTGGAAGGCCAAGTATGAAGAGTCCTATATTTAACAGTGTTTGTCAAACGTGACATAATTTTGACAATTTCAATTAACAAAGAGTATCTAATAGTAGTTTACGCAACAATTGCGTTAAGTGAGTCTTTACGACACGAGTAGAAAATTTAAGGCACGAGCCTTGGCGAGTGCCTTAAAAACTTCCACGAGTGTCGTAAAGACTATTAACGCGAGTTGCGTACACTACTTTACCTACGACCGTTTTTTAATTATTAAAAATCTGGTTTTTGATTACTAACAATCACTACTCATAACTTCCTAGGGAGGTTATGTTTTCGTTTATTGTCATTGTCACTGAAAGTGATGCAACGACTTATTGTATAATCAGCTGATTTCATGTAATTACGTGTTTGTAAAACTTTGTTAAATAATACGTTACTTTTTCAGTGAATAGGTTCTGCTAGCAGCATTCTTACCATAAATAATATCAGGTACATATAGGGAAATATTGCATATCTTTTTGGACAACTGAATAATATAGTGAAACAGTTAATTTACAGTTAGATCTCAGCATCGAATATGTGGTCCACAACGAGTTGGGTGAAAAAGTGGTTAAGAGGTTTTCAAAATAAACCAGAAGAACATTTTCATTTATCAATTTAACCTTATTTTGTTTCGTCCATTTAATGAATTGCTGGTATGTAATTGCATATGGTACCTTTGTTTTAATTTTGGTGGCAAAAGATTAGCACAAACAGTTTGTGCTCTCATTTCTATCTCGTCAACATCACTTTCACTAACTGATATTTTAAAATCAACTTTCATTTAACTTCCACCAACTTAGGTTAAGAATACGCGAGTATCAACAGGAACAAGCCGGATCAAGAATTAAAATTGTCAACTGATCAGCTGATCAGCTGATTAGTTGACGTTCGAAGTATTACAATTGTACTTCTTTTCTCTCAAGCCTTGAACCTCATTGGTCCGTTACCCGTGTTGATATGAGAAAAGCTATGCTGATATGAAATGAAACTATGCTGATATGAAAATAAACAGCTGTTAAGTGAAACTTTTCAATTCTAAGAACTGAACTGAAATGGCTACTTTAAAAAACGGTCGTAGGTAAAGATATTTACAAGTTGTATGAAGTACTTAATTCATAGTACTTGGTTCTATAATTAAAACACGACGCGATAGTTTTATGGTATCAGGATTGACGGTTTTGTGTGATTTAAATTATATTTCTTATTTCACAAAATTTTTCTAGTGTATCACCTGTTCAACAATGGTCACGATGTTTGGGTGGGAAACGCGAGAGGAACTCAGTTCTCCCAAAAACATCAGCGTTTTGATACAAACAGCGCTAAATATTGGAATTTCAGGTAAGGCAATTTAACGAGATTACATTTTGGAAGCAGAAATTCGGATCTCTAGCTAGATATCGTTAAATGTGTAACCAGTAAAATACATTTGATTTTCAATAATACTTACATAAATTAGCAGTAAGTATTGTCTTGACATTTGAAAACCATTTTTCTTAATTTGGATAGTTTTATTTACCTAACAGTAAGTTTTAAACTTAACCCCATATCTTCTTATATCATACAAACTTATAAGTGTGTAACTAAAATCTTGAAAGAACATTTTGTAAGTTATATTTACGGGAAAAACCGCTTTTTGCAAAACCGGTATGTATTAAAACAGACAGAAAGAACTTGACCCTAAAGTTTGGACAATGTACTGATAATGTAGTGTTGTGGAAATCGTGTTATTTAAATAAAATCGAGCCCCCAAAATGCAGCCTTGTTCAACCTCAAATAGAATTCTTTCAACAGAGTTAGCTTACAGTTCAAACTGTAGCTTCAAAACTGTCGGAACTTTACCTCTTAAGAAGCTAATTGTTTCTACTAAAACTATGTTGTATAGGAGAATATTACACAACAATGTTTCACGATTGGAAAAAAACTATTTGAGAAAAATGTGGGAGTATTCCCCAATAATGCCTTAAAACACAGTTTTATAAAATGTTCTATGTAATCCCATGGCATCTCTTAAATGTTAAATGTGTGCAGTTTTCACGAAATGGGCAAGTTTGACCTCCCAGCAGTTATACAGTACATCACTCACACCACTGGCAAATCCAAAGTGCACTACATCGGCCACTCTATGGGAACCACAATGTTTCTGGTTATGGGATCCTTGCTCCCCGAAAACCTGGTACTCGTTGACACTGTAACTTTCCTGGCTCCCGTCGCGGTGCCCAAGCATTTGACGGCGCTCTCATCGACGCTCAAATGGACCATTGCTAACTTCGCCACGGTAAGTTAATCAACTGGTGGAAATTTGTAGAAAATGTTCTTTGAAATATTGTTTATTTGGCGAGCGCACATATTGTGTGACCTTTTTTGAAACTGAATACGAATGAAGATTGAGTGTTGAGTAATTCAGATGTTTGATGTAGTTTTAGAGCTAAATTAGTTTCTTTAGCCGGCCGTGGTTCATAAAAGCCAATCTAGGACAAAGAAGAACCATGAAAATCTTACTTAATTTTAAAAGGTGTATAACAGTTTTTCTCTTCTAAATGCTTCATGGTTTTAAGCTACTTCCAATTCAACAAAATCGCTCCAAGAGTATTTTTGAACACGTTTGGATAGTTTTTGGGTTATTGAAATCCCAAGAGAGCTGGCCTGGTATGAGGCTATTAAAAACCATACACTTTTCACTATTGAATTGACAACATATTCCATGTAATAATCTAATTTGAATTGTTTAGAAAACTTTACCGATGATTGGTGTTTCCAAACATGGAAAACACCCTTGGATCGCAAAGCTCAAGCATAATATTTGCGGCTCAGAGAAACTTTACGGTGGTCTATGCAGGGTATTGACTGGAACACGAAAGGAAGAGGAGATAGTTGTAAAACGTGTGAAAAGTGAAACCGATGAAAACTCTGCAGTAGAAGTAGTACATACAGTTGTAAGCTCCAGCAAGTTTGATCGAGTAAGTAGTTTTATAACATTGGTATTTGGTATTTGGTAATGAAAAGTGTGAGTCATAAAATATTCCCCACGATGAAGCTTAATTTGAGTGAAACTGTGGATAAGTTTATGTATAACTAGCAGAGTACCCGTCCTTCGTACGGGGTTGGAATACAAGTATAAAATGCTTATTGCAGTTATACTCAAGCTTTGCGTTTGCAATAAGGGAGGACACAGTTTGATAAAATTTGCTTTTTTAAATTTACAGTATTGACAGTTCTCATTGCGAATCAGTTTTTTGTTGCTGCTTAGTTCAAATTAGCTGTTATCATAAATGCAAAGAAAATATAGCGCTGCACCCTGTTGGTAAATCTTATAACTTTTCAATGCTTTTCCATATCATAGAACCAAACTTTTTTTAGTTGAAACAGCTGACTAAATTCTTTAATTCCCTTTAAATATGAATACTCATTAGGTTAACATGGGGAATTACAGAGCCACTGGGGCGGAGCCCGAAAGGATTTTTGAGATAACAATATGCCTATATGTTAATCGGGAATGTAAGCTATCATCATGCCAAATTTCAGCCCAATCCGTACAGTGGTTTATGCGTGATTGAACTTCAAACACACAAACAAACAAACACAAACACACAAACTTTCACATTTATAATATTAGTAAGATAAGATGTAAAAGAGACAAATTTTAAGCATGCGAGTATTGTATATAAATATTACTTATAGTAAAATTAGTCCAGCATCTATAGGGGGTTGAGTATGCACTGAAAGTGTAACTCTTTTTGACTTTTGATTGTTGTTTGGGGCATCTTGGAGATGACAAAAACCGATGTTGTCGCCCTCCCAGCAGGTGCACAACTTGGGGAGGAGGGGGGGAAGGTGCTCTGAGACGCGTTCTAGAAAATCGCTTATATCTCGTGAACTAGACACGATAGAAACAAGCTCTAAACGGCATTGTATTACCAACTTCATTTGCTTTAAAAAAGTATCCAGGAAAAGTCCAGTATCTATTATATTAGTTGAGTTATTTAACAATTTATTTAAAAATTTTAATAAAAACACCTAAAAAAAACGTTAAATTATCCATTAAAACCCCTTTAAAACAACAAAAAGTACAGTTTTTCATCGTGCATAATATGTTTTACACGGTAAAGTGACTTTATATGGTAATTACATCGAAATATTACAAGGTTATGCAAGGTTTCCGATAAAGCGGCACGGTGACGCGGATGACGCCGCTGCGCGGCAGAAATCAACGTGTAGTACAGACTTGTAAAAATTGGGTATGTACCGAAAGTGTAACGCATTTTGACTTTTGATTGTTGTTGGGGGCACCTTGGAGATGACAAAAACCTATGTTGTCGCCATTCCACTAGGTGCACAACTTGGTGGGAGGGGGGGAAGTAGCGTTGAGGCGCGTTCTAGAACATCGCTCATATCTCGTGAACTAGACACGATAGAAACATGTTTTAAACGGCATTGTATAACAAACCGCATCTGCTTTAAACATTGTACAACGAAAAATCCCATATCAATGATAATAATTGAGTTATTTAACATTTTATTTGAAATAACAAATTTAAAGTCAAAATACCGTTTATCTGCCCATATAACTCTCATAAAACAATAAATAGTACTGTGTTAGGAGTGCATTCTATGTTCAACACACGAATTACAAAAAATTAAGTGTACTGTACTTTCCTTAAAATAATATGTACGGAGTTCTCGAGTTTGCGAGAAAATAATTATAAGCTGTTTTTAACACTAGGCTATTTTAAATATAAAATTCAAACAAAAATCTAGGTACAACTACCAAAGAAAATGCTTCAGTTTTTGAAATGTATACGGTTTTTATTAAAAGAATATTAAAATAGACTTGGAAATGCTGTACTTCATTTTAAAACTTAGCTACCATATAAACTACACATAAGAAAACAACGGATACTATTTCGGTCATCTTGTTTGAAACGGTCTTAATGATGAGGATTTCTACAATTTTTAAAACATTTGTAGTAGGAGCAGCAGGATTAAGAAGAAAAGGAAGCACCTGCAATGACACCTGTTATATAGAAATCACAACTAATCCATCTGCCGTCAAGGACATTAGTAAAATGCCTTGAACACCAGACAGCTTTAAATTACACCTGTTACGGTGTAGTGCCCAACTATATTTTTGGGAAAAGTCCTTGACAGCAGAAATAGAGCCCTTAGATCTATTCCAGTACGAATTTTTCAAAGACAGCTCAGGAAAATTGCGCCCCCTTCTTATCACCCTGCCCCCGGCACCTACAAATTTGATAAAGCCATGTATATGCAAGACTTGTTCTAGATCAACTTGTAGCTGCTTTTCAAACAAGTCATCCTGCTGCTCCTACTGAAAATGTTTTAAAAATTGTAGAAATCCTCATCATTAAGACCGTTTCAAACAAGATGACCGAAATAGTATCCATTGTTTTCTTATGTGCAGTTTATATGGTAGTTACGTTTTAGTATAAAGTACATCATTTCCAAGTCTATTATAATATTCTTTTAATAAAAACCGTATACATTTCAAACTGAAGCAACTGTTAGTTGTACCTAGATTTTTGTTTGAATTTTATATTTTTAAAATAGCCTAGTGTTAAAAACAGCTTATAATTATTTTCTCGCAAACTCGAGAACTCCGTACATATTATTTTAAGGAAAGGACAGTACACTTAATTTTTTGTAATTCGTGTGTTGAACATAGAATGCACTACAAACACTGTACTATTCATTGTTTTATGAGAGTTATATAGGTAGATAAACGGTATTTTGACTTTAAATTTGTTATTTCAAATAAAATGTTAAATAACTCAATTATTATCATTGATATGGGATTTTTCGTTGTACAATGTTTAAAGCAGATGCGGTTTGTTATACAATGCCGTTTAAAACATGTTTCTATCGTGTCTAGTTCACGAGATATGAGCGATGTTCTAGAACGCGCCTCAACGCTACTTCCCCCCCTCCCACCAAGTTGTGCACCTAGTGGAATGGCGACAACATAGGTTTTTGTCATCTCCAAGGTGCCCCCAACAACAATCAAAAGTCAAAATGCGTTACACTTTCGGTACATACCCAATGTTTACAAGTCTGTACTACACGTTGATTTCTGCCGCGCAGCGGCGTCATCCGCGTCACCGTGCCGCTTTATCGGAAACCTTGCATAACCTTGTAATATTTCGATGTAATTACCATATAAAGTCACTTTACCGTGTAAAACATATTATGCACGATGAAAAACTGTACTTTTTGTTGTTTTAAAGGGGTTTTAATGGATAATTTAACGTTTTTTTAGGGGTTTTTATTCAAATTTTTAAATAAATTGTTAAATAACTCAACTAATATCATAGATACTGGGCTTTTCCTGGATACTTTTTTAAAGCAAATGAAGTTGGTAATACAATGCCGTTTAGAGCTTGTTTCTATCGTGTCTAGTTCACGAGATATAAGCGATTTTCTAGAACGCGTCTCAGAGCACCTTCCCCCCCTCCCCCCCAAGTTGTGCACCTGCTGGGAGGGCGACAACATCGGTTTTTGTCATCTCCAAGATGCCCCCAACAACAATCAAAAGTCAAAAAGAGTTACACTTTCAGTGCATACTCAACCCCCTATAGATGCTGGACTAAATGTATATTACATGGATAGTGTAAATGTGTGATAAATTTAAACCAAAATTAACTAGGTAATAAGACCATTGACTGTACTAATACCCAGGGTAGTAATCCCATCAGTATGGGCCTGGATGTCTTTTTGTTAATTTTTCTTCATATCAATCAACAATAATAATATCAATCGTAATTGAATAAGCCACTTAAGGCGTTAGCAATTGTCAAACATTTATCTATTTGATTTTGATGCTATGATTTTTTAAATATAAGATAATATTGTTTACACCGAGTTGAATTTCGTAAAAATGTTGCGTATTCATAAAAAATTAGATTAATTCTGTTTATCAAACAAAAATCTAGTACTCTTAATCAAGTTAATCTTCCTCAAGCACTTGTGGGGACGAGATAACATACCTCACAATGCAGTAAAGTCCAATCGCTGAATGTGTCAATTGTATGAGCCAAACAGTCTGTTAACTGATGCGAAACCTGTTCCCACAGGAGAAGCACCAACCCGGAGCAAAACCAATGTTCATCGACGTCCTCTCATTCTTGGATTTGTATATTATTTCAAGATTTAAGAGAAAACAACATAATGCCAAAACGCAAATTATCACAAAAACTATCTAGTTGATACAGATTTATCCAAGCCTTAAGCATCTATTTCGTTTGTATGGTACATGATACATTAACATTTTTCTTCCCCTGTAAACAAAAATATACTCCTCAATCCAATTTGAGTTTAAAAATTAAATTTTAAGGAATAACTAAACAAATTCAACTCATAGCATTGTTGCTATAGTTCGCTGCAGAAAATGTGATTGAGTACTCTTTTCATGGCACATCATGGAAGACCCATCGCCATTTTCTGCAGATTATTAAAGCAGGTAAGAACGTTTAACAAGGAATTATACGAAGTGATAGCTTCATATTCTGTTTGTTTCTTCAAACATCGGAGTAGCCCAAATTCACACATATTTGTTCAAAATGGTGTTGGTTCTCATGTTTATAAATATTCATCATTTTTGCAGTTTTACTGTCAATCATGCATTTTAATTAATTGTGTTTTGGCCTCTCGGGTCCTAAAATGAAAATATACAGGGTCCCTCCATTTCGGGGTTTCTGAGACTATCTAGGTGAGTACTTCTTCCAATGATAACATTGAAATGTGCCAAAACATAATGTCACTACAATAAGTTTCTGAAAAGTTTGATCTGATATTAATTAATTTTAAAACTCTTAAACAAGGGTTTTGGAAACTGGTTACTGAATTTAAATTGTAGCCTAAAAGATATTCTATAAGGTTACTTCAATATTCAACATTTTAAAAACTAAATCCAATAAATAATTTTCTAAATAATTATCAGGAGATTTCTTATGGAACTATATCGAAAACTTTGAATTCCAACTCAACTGGCATAATACTTTTCACTTTTGACCATGCAAAGAAGTCTGTACTTGAAGTAAAAACACCTTTTGAATTAGTTGTAAGGCTGTTTATAATTCAAGCTACATTTTCAGGAAGGTTCCAAGAGTTTGATTATGGAAAAGATAATCCAAATGTGTACGATGGAAAAACAAAACCGTTTATGTACAAACTACAGAATATAAATAAACGAATATATCTGCTTTCTGGAAAATTGGATACCATAGCTCGACCAGAGGTTTGATCATATCTTTAAGAATGGCATCATCTTAGTTATATGAATGACTTAACAACAAGTACCTTACGTGGTGGGTTTCTTTTCAAAACCAACCAACCAATTTCTTTTTTTATAAAGCAAAAAGGTCTGTAGAAACAACGACATAACACAGACAAATATTGTTTCCTAATTAAAATTAGGGCTTCTTTAGTTATGCTAATTGGTCAAGCACAAATGTTGATGTCCCTACGAGATATCCTGAAAGCCACGACGGCAAGACCAGGTGGGAGAGACCTGGGAGAAACGGGAATTTGGGTTTCCCTTACGTAGAACAAAGCGGGTATAGCTGTGAGGGCTTATAGTTTGTAGTCAAAAGGTAGATTTCATCCCACTCAAGAAAACTGCACTATATCTCAAATATCCCCATGTAGGCTATATTAAAGAACTTATCCAAAACAATGCTTTTATGAATTTCACAGAGTTCAATTTAGGCCAAATTAATATTTTTTAAATATACCATTGATCAAGTACAAAAGTTGCCCGAGCACACGTGTCGATTTGCGAAAAGACCATCAATGTAAACAAAATGTAAAAAATTGGTACATATTTGACATATGATTGTCTGAATTATTACACATTTATTATTTAGATATAAAAATAAAGCTAAAGATGCAAAATTTTACTAATCGAACCTGCAGATGGTTTGCTCAAACCTGGTAATTAAAAGGTTTACAAATCCTGTAAATTCGGTTTACAAATCCTGCATAGTGTTAGACAGTGCAGTATTTTATATCTAAGTACTAATAATCTTTTTAAGGAGGGTTTCCGAAAGAGATAACGCTGCAGTGAGAAAGGGAGTTTTAATTTCGGGCTTATCCTAACTCCGCGCAGTGGTCAGAATTCTGTCAAAACCGACTGTCCAACTCCGCGCGGTGGTCACTTCGGGTACCTTGCGGCACATGTCCAACTCCGCGCGCTGGTCAATTTTGGCGCTCACCACCCTGACTGCTGAGAGTTTGTATTTAAAATTGTTTTAAATGTACATAATTTACAACTGTACGAAACCCCAGTAACTAATAAAATAAAGTTAGCCAGTACTATATGTTTAATTTGAATTGACCTATCATTAACCTAACCTAACCAAACCAAACCTGACCTGTCATATGAATAAAGTAGTTATGAACAAATAAAAGTGTAACATTACTTTTGGGACACAAGGTATATATAGAACATGTCATATCTCACAGAGAGCACAAGTACAAGTATTGATGTGTAATCCTTCACCCTGACGGCTGGCCGTTGTAGCTTTTAAGATAGTGGAACCCTGCGTCTCGAAGGAGCGCATTGAGGTCTGGTTTCCGCCAATGAACGTATTAGACAGGAACAGCATTAGAAATTGAAATTGTTTTGGAAAATTCCCTTCTGGGAGCCGTGGCCTAGAATATCTTTACGTTAATTCAATTTATCATTGACTTTGAAAAGTGCCAGTAAATTTCTTATCCTATATTTAAAAATGAAAAGCCTGTTACGGTGTGTTTCATGTTGTTTAGTTTTGATTGAGCTTAAACACGTTACCGCTTTTCGTATGAACTTTTTCAGTTCTCAAAATGTATACTTCTACCCTTGAGGACTAATTATGTTTAATAAATAAACAATAATTTGGAAGAATTTTACTGATTACTCTTACTTTAACTCTATCTTATAGTGCAATTTTTTTTATTTTTTTTGCTGAAGTAGATATCCTATTACATTACACTATACCTGCTGTAACAACATTTTTATTCAAATTTGACAGTTCCATGAGGCACGCACAGATGCCAATATCAAACCTAAGTTGCTCCATTAGTTTCTGATGACAACTGTGGTTGGATAAGGTAATCATAATTATTTTATCAATAATATATTCCAACCAAGGGTCACAATGAATAACATTAGTTTCTGTTACTGTGATAGATTATGTGTCATAAAATATTACATTGTTCACAATTAAGTTGTCCTTTTAGTCCTTTGTTAATACATTGTGTACTATACAGAAACCACTACTTAATATCCACTGAAGATGTCAGTGGTGGAATAAATAAACTGCTACGTTCAATTTAGTCTACAGGTTTAACACATTAATGGAGTGTCTACTTCTACCAATACCTAACTTACTTTCTGTATTTTCTACAAAGATGTTGGCTTTGTTTGTTTTAAGGACGTGGATTGGCTAGCCGTTCGTCTAAATGATCCCTGGTTGATTAAAGAAGGGTTCGAAGATTTCGACCACACTGCCTTCAATCAAGGGCGAGGTATCGATAGGGTGCTTCAAACTGTTGAAGAAATCATAGTAGCCTCTGAACAGGAGAGGGTTCCAGATTTGCCAAAGGATTTTGTAGTACGGGATTCGAATATCGAATATGAGTCAAAAGAAGAAGAAGAACACCAAACACCAGACAAATTTAGCTTTTCCAAATTATTCCGAAGAAATCAAGATAAGAAGGTTGACAACGGTGAGTACAAAACTACATAGCACCAGTGTATCCAATTTGATATTTCAAAACAGATATTTTATTTGATATTTTGTTTACTCCTCTTAATTATTCAGATAATTCATTTTGGAACAGTCGCTTGAATGCCTCTCAAAACTTTTATTCATTGATAATAAGGATGTTTGGTCTACTGTTTTCCAATGTACAATAATGGGGTTTGTTAATAGGATTTTTCCAATTGAATGTCTATTCCTCAAGACAGTTCTGTTTTATTTGTTCCTTGAGTGGTTCAGTTATAAGCAAGAATAAATTTGTCAAATGATTTATGAAGATTCACTTTTTTAGTTTCCTGTACTGTTTACAAACATCGCTTGTGATTCATCATATAAAATTGTTAACTGCTGTGTTTTTACTTATTTGATGTTTTTTACGGAGATTTAATTGGGAGTTATTAAAGATAATGTCAGAACATACACTTTTTTATGGTATAAAATTCGAAAAATCTATTATAAGATACGAGATTTCTAAAAATAGGATTTACCTTCGTAAATCCAGCTCAAATGGTGTTACGGCCGTTTCGGCATTACAATGCCATCGTCAATTAACGAAATCTCGGCTGAAGTAGCGTCGTTGAATTTAAAAACAAAAAATATGGCACACACGAACAATATGAATAACATTTAAACATTTTACAAAAACTATCAGGCCTGTCGTACTAACTGCATCGGTTGACATATTCCCGTTCCGATTGTTGTGACATTTTTCGTTCAAAATGTTCGTCGACAGTTTTGTATAGTCATGGCACTCTTTTCTTTGATTGTGGGCATGTGTCTATGACGACTCTTCACAACGATATACATGAGGAGGAATAATTGTCGTTTAGCGTTCAACTTGTTATCGAATCGAACCTTAATGTTCGGTACCTTCGTTCGAAACGTGAACCAGAATCTCCTAATATTAAAATTTTAAAGCTATTTAAACTTTATGCAGTTTAAAAGTTTCCTGACGTCTAAAACAGATTAATAAAACATAGAAAGAGTCCCGTAGTTACTTAAATATAGGTAATTTTCAAATTGTGAATTAAATCCGAGCAATTCCGCAAACCTATCAACGGTACATTTTATTAACCGGTCTTTTAATCTGACAAATAAACAAAACCAACACTCGCATTCCAGCGAAGAAGGTTCTCAATCGAATTCGAGATGGACCATCAATGAAACATTGACATGGCGCGAGTGGAACCGCCTTCTTTCATTAGGCCAGATCTGATATTGGAGGCTTGAATGGACCAGCCTGAAGCAACGCCTGTCTTGTCTGAAATCTTGTCGATCGCTAGCAACTTTAGCGCGTTTTGAATTCTATATTTAATATATAAGTTTGTAAACTAGTTTCGATGAATGTCCCAATTAAAAAATACACGTATAAAATGTTTAGCTGAGTAAAATTGATATTAGTAATAGGGTAGTGACAGATGTTATATTGTCTAGGTATAAGAGTATCATTAGTTTCTTGCGTTGTAAATTGTTTCATATAGTTCCGTTCAATATTAATTAACAATAGAAGTCATAATTTATTTGTCTTTGTTTTGTTTTGAACAAATGTTTTATTTTTTTACAATGAGAAGAACCAGAGTTGATTCAGTTAAAGTTAAACAACTACACATTAATTTTTTTAAAGAGGATGAGAAATGTTCAAATATATTCATTACATTTAGTATCAGAGTTAAATCAGCGTTGTTACTTATTGTAATAGTTCTTGTGATTCAATCAAAATTCTAACTTCTTGGTTAAGCTTTGATTTGAAAGACTCCTTGATAATATCGTACTAACTGTGATTCCAATCTACAAATTGTAACTACCTCGCCAAAAGATTTTTTCCATAACACAAGCACTGTTTTACACACTCAAAGTAGGTAGAAGAACTGAAATTCAGCTGCAAAATTAAACTTGTATGAAAAAACTGCCTCCACATTTAGTGTATACGGTATTTAATATTTTTCAAGTGTTTTTGAGCTTTTACATATTGGACGAAAACATACTGTAAAAATATGAAAAATATAGTTAAATCGCATGTGTCAAAAATGTCTGTTTTACCTTGACTTCATTGTATGACTTGAAATCATTCGAAAAGAGTTACCTTATGCCCTAGTCCAGATGAAACTATGGCGTTGCCTGGGACATATTTTATATTTCCAGTCGATTATTACTGGAGTGTTAAACTCAACCACTCTTTGTGAGGTAAGTTTATCTACTCCGCGCAGCTAAACAATGTGTTCTCCGTACGTTTAAGGCGATTTACATGAGCGCATCTCCCGCGCTTTGCACGACAGCTAACCACGGGCGAGCAGATTCCGCGGGTAATATATGTGTTTAGAGGGTGTTAACTCGCGCGTTTACAGGTGCAGGTGCAGCTCAATTGTTCCCAAGTGGGATAAATCATGCAAGGATCATACCAGCTGCATTCCGAGCCGCCTGGCTGACTACACAGCTTGCACCTAGGTGCTCGGAGGAAACAGGACGTTGCAGTATCTATGTGTTACACTAATATCTATTTCCTATTGATTTATACAAGCACTTAAGTATACGGAGTAATTTACAAACTAATTACATTGATTGCGATAGTGTGGTGTTGAAGATGGTGAGTCATAATAGTTACATTTGGCCGATTTATTCATGTTTTCGGACGTACGTTATGATGACTTCCCAACCCCTGTGTTATTGAGGATACTCGGTGTGGTGTTAATAGATATAGAACTTAATAATATTGACTGTATTTCGAAACCAGTACCCGAACAGTAAGATCTCCTGACATTACTTCGTTTAAGCCTTTTGTTTATGGTATACTCGTCTCATCAGGCAGAATCGTAGGTCATTATTCCACCGTAAACTTCAACCAATATTTGTCTCCTGACATTTCTCCATGTGAAATTCAGACCAAGCTTTTGGTTTATGTAAAAGGTGTGTTTTCACAGTTTATTGTGAATTTTTGTGTTCCATGTATCCTGGTTTTCAATGTCAGGCATACAGGCATAATTCACTATCAGATTAGTTAAGAGATGAAAATCAAGACTCGTAATTAGTTTATATATGCTAAATTAAGTGTTAAATAAACGGCCCCAAAACATTGTTTTTTATAGTAAAAAACTAGAAAATCCTTACAGGTGAAATAAAATTAAAATTAAATGTGGTTTTGTATGAAAGTAATTATGATGAATATCAATAAACAACATTTATTCAACAAAATCCTCATCAACCACTCCTCGAAGATTACATTTCAGAAGGAGACAGGTAACCTCGAGTCGAAGATGGATCGAACAATTTTGTAGAACGTCCCCAAATTATCGGCGATTGTTTGACGCTAAGGGAGTCTATTATTGTAACAGGAAGATTGTGCCATTACCCGAACCTAGGGGACTCCCAATTTCCCATTTTACTGCCCCAAAGACCGACAGAGCTCTAAGTATGGTGATTAACTTTGACGTCCAAAAAACTCAGTTTATGGGTGACATTTAGTCCGGGTATTATTTCGGCAGACAAGGTAGTCAAGAGGATTTAATTTTTATGGAATACGTTTTGTGTGTTTTTTTTTCTGGATTGAAAATGTCGAATTTAATTGTGTCGGGTAGGGTATGAACTAGAAAAATTAAGGGGTATGGGATTTATATGATGAATGCTAGAGTTTTTTAAGCCTTAACATCCTTCTAAAATATATATATATATATATCGGTGGAATTGCCGTAGATTTTATTATATTTTACACAAGACATTTTGACATAGGTACCCAAATTACGTAATTTCTTGACGTTTATCTTAAGAAACTCCTTATTTTAGCATTAATTATTTCCTATTAGGCTATCTAGTACCCTGACGATTCCAAAATAGGTTTCCTGGACTAATCTTGTCCCTATTGTACAATTAATTGTTAGGTACCTTTTCATGGAAATTTTTTTTAGAATTATTTTTTCAATGTTTAATGCACAAACAACCAAGTTTTTGAATGTTGTGCAGTTGTTACTCTTAAGTAGATTTTTCATTAGATGTAGTAGATGCTGCAAGTTTGTTAAGTTACGTAGGATTAGTGGTCTATATTAAAGACGTCGATACCGTGGTCCAGACCAGATAGATCATCCACAATACCACCCAGTATACATATAACACTAAGAGATGTGTATGACCTAATTTCTCTAGAAAATTATACGATAAACTACACTCAGAAATCCTGTTAAATAATTGAACTTAACCCTACAAGTTTACAAATTTGAAACCAATATTGTGTGTTGCTCATCACCATACTCGTTTTACATTGTTAGCTGATCAACAACATTTCTTCTAATAACTCACAACTATTGTATTTTATTCTTGTCCTTCTAGCCCTACTTTGTATATTCTACTCTACATCCCGAAACGTCTAATGGGTGGAGCGGCGCTCAAATCTGTAAACTATGGAAATTCCAGCCTAAACACTCGAAGGCGGGTCGCAGGTAGCTCGGTCCTCCTCTGTTATTAACACTAATAAATTGAGTTGAGTTTTTGCAGGTGTTATCTGATCTGATGGAGCGTCGTAGGAATGAGACGGACAATAATGTGTCGGAATGGAAAAGGGGCGAAATAAATTGACATGGCTGGGGTGTGGGAGGGAGGGTTGTACAAGACGTACGTCTGTCGGCAACATCAACAAAGATGAACAAGATATAAAGTACTCACCCTTGGACCCACCAGGGTTTAATATTCTGGGTAAAATTGGTCCTTTTAAGATTAAAAATCCTGTTTAAAAGGGAAATCTAGATCTTAAATACAAATTAGCTTTGACTCATATAGCTTTTGGAGACTTGGTAAAGCACAAAAAGGATAATAGTTCACTATCTGAATAGTACGAGGTTTCAAACTATAAATACTGTTTTGACTTTCGCTCACTGCAAAGCTATGAAGCTATTGATAGTTAATCTGTCACGATGAACAGTGGATCACAACGTGGACTAAGGTATTGTAATATTTATTTATCATGCGTAGGCCTACCATGATCCACAAAATAACACCATCATAAATGTATATCAATCACGAAAATTAGAACAGAAGTGGCATAGATCATAAACATAGATAAATGATGTAACTGGAGGTATTTTTAACATTAGGTATATGGAAAGTTCCTTTTAGAAATGAATTTCAACCTTAAAGGGCAATTAATGATATAATGGATAGTTTTGCGCGAGGTTTCTCGTCATGACGAACATTTTAAGTATATTGGTTATGGG